ACCCAACCTGCTGCTTGTCTTGCGGCTTGCCAGCCTGCCTGCAAGCCTCCAAGCCAGGCAAATTGGTGGTGGTGAGGGGTCGCTCCGGCGGGAAGGAACATGGCAACCAGCCCAGGGAGCCTCCCCTCGCTAAACTAACACTGAAGGTTCCTTCCCTACCACCCCACCATTGGCACCGGTACTTGTATTTGTACTTTGATGTTCGAACGGAAGGAAGTACATCCACCTGCACCTGCACCTGCACCTACACCTGCATCTTGCCTGCCTTCCTGCGAAGCGGCCATCGGCTGTGACTTCCCTGGAAAACGCAGCTCCAGATCCTCAGAAAAACACACTGACAACGTAAAATGCATTTGCTTCGACCGCTAATGTCGCCCTAATGCATAGGTACTCTCACCTTTCGTCTGATCCACAGGAGCCATGGTTCAACTTCACCGCCTTTCAGACACTCTGCCTGAGCCTCCACCTTGCCTCCCGGACCCAACAGTACTGCCAGCGGTGGCATGACTTGATTCGCCCGTCTGTCGAGACATTCCCTTCGTGGGCTTATTCGTCGATACTTTCAATGTCTGAACACTTGATGGTCTGGGCGACGACGACGACGACCATCTCGCCTCCATTCCCAAGCTTTGTCGATCCGAGCTCGTCAATGGCAGGCACCATCTCTCAAGAGACATCGGCAACCCGGGCCTACTGCACCCATTCCAGAGGACTTGCATCTTGGCGATGTCTTCAAGACATTACCAGCCCAAGCATGACCTGTTACTGCCGTGCCGTCCCCGCTGCACGAGATATCGCCGCTCCCGTACAGTTGTGCTATCTGCCGTGTCAGGACAGCGCTTGCTGACGTCGTGTCTCTGGGCAGGCAGGGCAATCTGCTCAAGTCAATCGATTGGCTCTGTTTCTAGCAGTGCAACAGCCACGACAGTGGACGGGTCATCCGTCACCCAAGTGTCCAACCCGCGTCGTATCAACCACCGCCGCACCACGCGCAGCTCGTCCTCGCTGTCAGTGTCTGTGCATGTGAAGATGGCGCTTGCTTGCTTGAGGCGAGATCCAGATCTCCAGGCGCCGCCGTCGCTGCTGTAGCGTTGTCGAAAGCGAGTCAGATCGGCGCGACGCTTGTCAGTCGGTACTAGCTCACGCCGTACTCGATGGTGTTCATTTCCAGGGCCTGGCTTGTTCGCACTCACTGCCATTAGTCGTCCCGCCGATTCTCTCCGAACAACCTGACGTCAGGAGATTTCAGAGCAATGTGGCCTGCCTCTGGGGTGAGGCTCGATATGTATATGGCGGAGAAGGCCCTCTGCGCCGCATCCGACATGGGCAACAGCGTTGGATTCCATCGCGTTGGCAGCATTCAGGATCATTGGGGAAAAGATCGATACTGCCTCCAAGTCGCGGTACGCAGTACAGGATGACGAGTACGTACCCGGGTTCCCCACGCTCCCAGTCGAAGAGGGGGGGAGAGGAGCACACAGGTGACAGGGGCTGGAGGGGAAAAGACAAGGCGGTTACGTATCTCGCTGCACGCAACGCCAGTGGCTCACGCTCTGTCTCAACCCCACGAACCAGCGGAATCAGGACAGACACGACAGACTCGAGCGCTTCAATTGGACAGAGAGCCCACCTGTATTCCCAGAAACACAGCAGCCAATCGGGAGAGGAACATACGGCTGACACGATGGACCAATCAGGGGTGCCCCGCTGGGGAAAGGTGAATCTTGAATTGACGCCCGCCCTTCGCCAACATTCAACAACGGCCCAGTTGTCAGATGTCAAAGTGTGCACTGGACTGCATTCACGACGAATTTTCACACCCTCACATCTGACTGGAAAAAAAAGCAGAGGGCAAAGTTAGGCAAGAGAAGGAGAAGGGGCGAATGCATTCCACTCGGGCGAAACCGCAAGACACTGGATGAAACGGTCTTCGGGTCGAGTCGATTTGGAGGCACCAAGAAGAACAAGACCAAAAGACAGCAGAGACCCTGAAACACTGTGGGACGCTGTCTTCTGGAAGCTTGCGGCATTCTTGGGATCCAGTTTTGCCTACCTCGCTTCTACAGCGTGGTGATTGTTCAGTCTCCTTATTTTCGACCCTTTCCTGCCTCTCGAAATTTTCTGTTGGGGGTTCGAATTTTGTTGAGATGGTTGCTGGCCAGGGCCGGCCTTGTCACCACCAGGGCCTCGCAGATACGTATCTCTCCCTCCCCCACTCCGAACATCTGAAGGACGAGTACCTGGTCTGTGCCAACCGGATCCCACTTGCGCTGCCCACCAAGGATATGTTCTTCGGGAAGCTCAGGACAGGCCATTCGTCTTCTCATCACGGTTGCTTTTTTTTTTTTTTTTTTTTTTTCCCACATCAAAACCCATCAAAGCTCCATAGATACGACTTTTGAACAATGCAGTCAGTTCATCGTGGGGTTCTTCGGCATTCGTACTGCTGACCCAGAAGCTGAGACCACCACCTCGACGGCCAATCCCAACGCACTCAATTCCACGAACAGGGGACGAGGAGGCCAGCGAAGAACACAGGCCAGCTTTACGAAGGTCCTGCGTTTGGCCCCCCAGCTTGCAACTTTCACATGGGATTTCGTCGACCTTGACTCCGTTGTCCCAGCCTGGGCAAACATCCGTAATGTGAGCGGCACGAGAGGCGCCTAGAGCGACTACGCCTGTAGGATTTTGGGATCCCCGATGCCACGACCGATGAGGGCAGCAAACCTGAAATCACTGCTGCCCTCCTCTTCAATGACAATCACGCACATCTATAGCCCACTTGGACCAATGTGGTTCGCTGATACTTCCTGCTGTTTCCGAGGCCGCGCCCCTCTCACCCACGAGAGGCTCACTTACATGTGATTTAGGGCCTTTGTTGGAGGGGCAATGTTAGTGACAGACACACGGAACACACTACCAAACCGCCTCGCCTCACGGTTACAACACTACCGGTCGTCCCCTGCTAGCACTTGGCTTCATGTTCTTCTCCACGAAATCAGGGAAGGGGAACATTGGCATGCCGCTGATACGTCCCCGTCTCGGCAAGTCGCCTATGGTTGACGCATCAGACAGTCGATCGTTGATCGCTCGCTCTGGCAGGTTTTACCAGCTTGTGACCTGCGCCGCTCTGCACGGTTGGAGGCAGAACTTGCGAGACTGCATGGTAAGCACATGCTGAGGCTTCGCACAGTAAGACGTTGCTGAGGGGCGCCTCGACAAGACACCAGCATTGGGCCTCAATGACCCTACTCGTTAGCCGTCTTTTGTTCGCCACGATCAGGGCTTTGCAGGAAGCAGCTCGGTTCTCACACCGAACGAAAACCGAGCAAACAAACGCCGCTATGGTTTTTTGGCATTAGTTGGTTTTCGTCTAATGTGTGCGCCTTCAGGCGCGCCCCTATTAATTGACCGCCTGGCGTGCTGCACTCCAGCGGCAGCTACAAGACGGGACGACGTAGCGTTGACCGCCTCGCATGCATGAAATGGCTGACCATCTCGCGTCCTTCCATTCATCGATTGTGCGTCTCGAAGGTTTAATAGACGCCGTGGCTCTCGTGAGTAGGCAGACGAGACTCGGTATCTCATCGGTGATTGGCCTCGGTGTACGTGTCGTTCTCAACACCGAACAGAGACATTCTCATACTGTTGACTATGTTCATTCGCCAACGGCATCAAACAGAATCTTGCCCAACCTATGTGGAGAATGAAACGGTTTTGCTGGGCCAGAAGGCCCCATCCCCAATTCGATACCTTCTTCAATGTCCGTCAACCATGCCTTGCTGTGTCGTGGGACCACGTTCCTCGCCTCGTTCTCTTGCACAAGTCGATGAGAAATGAAAGACTGTCTTCTTTCTGCATTTGGAAGTGACCCGCAATTATAGAGGTTACAAACCATTGAGATGGACTTATCGCCCACCGAGATGATGTGACTTGATACCGTGATCCCAAGGTTACGCTGACAGCATCAGCAACAACATCCATGTCTTACAGTCAATGATTTGATGATATAGCTGTAGGCATCATCAGATTACAGCCCTGGGGGTCAGCCAGACCCACCGGTTTCCCTTGTCCGTGATCACTTTCGTGTTTCTTATGTATTTCACTCCAGCCCTATAAGCGCACAGTCGTGGTCAGTAGAGGTTTCCCTGCTTTGGTATTGAAGATGCCCAGAATGATCGCCAACATTTACTTCCTGCCGAGGCGTGATAACAACTTCAAGAAAATGACAAACCTGCTATGGACCGTGGCTGGTCACCTTGACGAGAGCTTTCTCAACGCAAGCACCATACACGACGAAGAGTTCTGGGCCTCACCATCGCCGTAGGAAGACATCAGATTTCATCCAATGGGCCGGGTTAGCTTACAAGAAACTCATCAAAGAATCATCAATCCTTCCTCTTTCCCTCGCTACAAGTACTTGATGGCTCGAAGCTGTTGCCTGCATTGTCATTCCGTCGCCGTCTGCTCCAGCGGCCGCGGCCACTGCGGGAAGAGAGACATCATGTCTCAGCAACCCCGCCCCTTCAGGCAGCCCCGAGGCAAGGGAAGACTGATTTCGGTTGGTGATCCGAGTCATCCAAAACCGGTGCGATGATCTCCGCCCTGTACTGAAGAAGTTGCCTATCGCCATGTTTGCCTTCCTTAACTGCATGAAAGTTTCAGTGTCGTGATCAGCCGAACGGTGAGGCCGTGGCGAAGTGCGATAAGAGAAGTAGGCAAACCAATGGTCTAGGGGTGGCCATCACGATACATACCAGTGAATGTGACAGTCGTTGTGTGAGAGGAGTGTCATATCGTCGAGGGTGCCTCGTGTATAGGAATAGCCAAGATGCTGAACTTATCATGTCATATTATCTAAAGTGCCTACACAAGTCGTATCCCATCGTCAATGGGGTTCTTTTCATGAACCGTCCTTCCCATCCATAACCCAACGCCATGTCCAATGCTATCCAAAACCATGAAAACGCTACCGCACAAACGGAGAAGGGGGTATCAAATCACGCAAACCCAAGCTCCTCCCTCCCGTCGTCCACCAAGCGTCCCCATTCCAGCAGCAACCGAAACATGTAAATCCTCATATCCTCCTTGCGCAACGCCTGCGCAGCCCAGACCCTGCCCTCCTCCGCAATCTGCGCCGCCCGGATCTTGCCCTCGTAGTCGACACCGAAAAACCACAGCAGTCCCTTCAGCTCGTGGAGCCGCACGTCCACGGGGACGTAGTGCCGCCACGCGTGCACCCGCTCCGCGAGCCAGGTGCGGAAGATGCCGCTCCGGTAGACGACGCTCTTGCTCCGCAGGAAAGGTATGAATCGCCCGCTGAATCCCGCGCCGTCGAGGTCCATGAGGTGGGTGTACTTCCAGTGCTCCTGGAACTTGACCTTGTTCTTCGTCGGCTCGTCATGGCCGTCCCAGAAGGTGTCCCTCTCGGCGTCGCAGTCGCCTTCGTGGCATTTCCTCCAGTCCCCAACAAAGCCGACGTCGAAACGTGGCCCGGCGTCTGATCTCACAACCTCTCCCTCGCCGGCGGTAGCGGACGACATCGTCCATGTGTTCTCCCACATATTTGCAGCCGCGACGAACCTCGCCCTCAGGAAGCTCTGCCACGAACCCCTGGCAGCGTAGCCGTCCGTGGCACTCCCCCTCCAAAACATGACATTCTCCTTGTTCTCGAACGCGACGTCCGACTCCTCGTCGTATCCCGCCTTATCGTCAAAGTTCCACGGCGAGGGTATCAGGATGTCCGCGAACCCGGACGTCTTGCTCTGGCTGAACACCGGAAACGGCGCCTTCGTGAATATCGCCGCGGCGGGCGACAGCAGGAATCCGTGGAGATAGGCCAGGTCGGGCTGGTGGCAGAGGTCGGTGGCCGCGGTCCAGTTGGACACCACGGGGTAGTTCTCCAGCCCGTTTTCGTAGACGCGGACGGCGTGCGGGAGGAGACAGTCGCGGCAGGATTCGCGGCGGGACCACCAGCGGGTGTTGCGCGCGGGCGAGTCTGGGGGACAGGCCGGGGCGACGAAGTCGTAGTAGATCTCGTCGCGGATGTGGTCTGCAAAGTAAGGCGACTTGACCTTGGGGCCGAAAACGGTGTCGTTGTTGGGCCAGAGTTGTTTCGAGGCGTCGAATGGCTTGAGTGCTGGGTTGCTAAGCAATCTGGCTCTTGAGTCGAGGCCGTCGTTTTGTAGGGCCTGAATGTCTTCGAACGGGATGGCGACGCGGCACTCGTCGTTGAGATTGATTGCAAAGTCCATGTCGGGGAGATGTTGCGCAAACGGCTCAATCATTTCCTGCATCGACTCCATCATCCACATGTGTGATCCAGGGGTGCCGGGGGAGATGTCTATCTTGCCTCCACGGATGCGAAGACCTCCCATGCCGAGCCATGGCAGCGCGAGAGCGTGGCTCGTCCTCTGTCTGAGAACCTCTGGCTGTACGCCCCAGAACGGCAACAGGTCGTCATTAATTTGAGTAAAGTCGTCGATGATCGGGGAACCGTTTTCCATGGCGTACTCGAACCATTTGTCAAAGTTTGGCGGGGGCGGCATGCCGTATCGAACACGGTAGTTTCGGACTGCTTCATCTAATGTTCTGCTCTGATTTGCCTGCAACATCCAGTTGTCCGACTTGGCGTGTTCGACGGACAACAGATCCGGGAGAGAAAGGGTGTCGATGGAGGCGAAGTCGGGGTAGAACACGAGATATGTGCCGCACAGAAACCCAACAAGAACAACGTACCAACCTGTCAAAAACCTCACCAGGCGGTGGTCGGCGCCAGTCCCTGACATGTCCGAGATATCCTTGTCGTAGCGAAGCAGAAGCCCGACTCCTGCAATGGTGACGCCACCGAAAACCATGTAAAGAAGGGAGTCGTCCACTGGCGCAGACTTCTGAAGCATGCGGAAGATCTGATGCGCGTAGACGCCAGAAGCCGTTGTGACCATGGCCAATGTACTGGGGTGAAGATCCTTCATAATGTAGAACCCCGAGAGGATCGCGACGAAGGCCACAGTGCTATCCACCACCAAATCTCTAACGGCAACGTAGTGTAGTACGAACGCCCATCTGATGTTGCGCAGGTTATAAAATGAGAAGCAAGCGAGGATGGCTAACATGCCCGCTGACCCCAGGAACAAACGCGAGGCAAATGCCCATGCCTGCGGCGCATCCTCTGCCGTCTCTTGTCGCCATCTCGAGAAGCGGACCAGCAGGAAGGCATCGAGCGCGACGGTCACGATCTGAGCCAGCGGTATCTGTCGTTCCCAGCGGAGGGGACCCGGCGGGCAGATTGCGCCAGCAGACTGTGTTGATAGAGCGAGCGTGGACCTCGCTGCGCAGGCCCAGACGACAGCGATGAACAGGTAGCGAATGTGAGCCGCGCTGAAGCAGCGTCGGGAGCGGGTCTGGTCGCCGAGTGGCTGTTGAAGGCTGATGGCAGTGGGCGATGCGACCAAATACAGAGTAATAAAGACCGGGAGAAAGGTCTGGGTGACGTAGTTGTTAGTGCTGTGGACTCGGTGCGCATTAAGAGTTGACGATCATCAGTTTCATACCTCGAAGCTTTCCCAGGAACAGTGGATCGTGCGAATCGTGCGCCAGAAGAGAAGAGTGCGCAGGACGATGGCGATTCCGAGTGGTATCCACGGCGACGAAAGAAGATGTCGATTCCGTACAAAATCTATGCTGGCCTGGATGCGTCGTTTCCAGTGAGGGCTTGATGAGGAAAAGGTCGCGAGCTGGTAGCCTTGATCGTGGGAGCCTTGGTCTGGAGACTGCCACTTTGCCCATGCTGTGATAGCAAGACCGGATTCGAGGAGGGTCAGGATTGAGAAATGGATCGGTCTCTCTATTTAGGAGAAAGATAATGTTAACAGAAGTTGCAAAATACAGTATTGCACAAGGGGGGTTGACTTACCAAAGGCGGCACTGCTATTATATCGTGATGTTATCCAGGCGGTGCAAACAAATAATACAATGCTGCAGCTCTGTCAGTACGGCGAATCATTTCGAATTTTGACTTGGCGCAATAGGCCAGGATCGAGAGAAGGGGCAATTGGAAGTAACAAGAAAGTCTCAGACGAATAAGACTGAGGTGCCCAAATAGCGACTTGAGCGTCCGACACGAACTGAGACCTAGGAATTGAAGGTGTCACTCACCTAGCCGCCAAGCTGCCGTGTCTCTTCAGCGGGGCCGCCATCGGCCACCAAAGGTCGCCTTACCCAGCGCCGGCTTGGCACGCGGAGTGACGTAGGAGGAGCGGGAAACAGGAAGAGAAAAGTCAACGTCGCAAGATTATCGCATCCTCAAGTAGACGACCATTGCCTCGCTTTCCTACTGAGAAAAAGGTAAGAAATCAGGAGGTGAGGAAAGATGAGAGAAGAAAAAAGGTCAGAGCAGATCCAAAGCCCCCGTGTCTGAGGAGAATGAGGAGAAGGGGAAAGAAAGAAGGATGCGAGACGGCGCCATTACTAGCGCACGCCCGACGGACGGCCATCGTGTTGGCTGCCAGGCAGGTCACATACTGGACTGCCCGTCATCCATGGCTCTGGCTCGAGGGCATGGTGGTGGTGGTGGTGCATCCATAATACGGCAAGACACATGGGTAACGGGACCAACGACTTCGTTGGAACCTCTCTGTCTACCTCTGACTGCGTCCAGACCCAATGGCATGGGCTGCAGACACGTAGTTGTGCCGCAATACCGATCCACATAAGAATAAGGTATGGAGCTGCCCATTCCCTGTTTGCAGTGTCTTCTTCCCGAACGTAGTATTGACGTTAACCAAGGAACGCAGTCCAGTTCCCTTGCCATGTTCTGCTTCTCCTGTCTTTTCTGTTTACCGAGTACGGGACCGCCCCAGACTGCGAAAGCTGGGGGGTTTCGAGTACTGCTATTCCCGGACGGTGGCTGGCGTCATATGGCTATGCTTGCTCTTGCGGCGGTACACATGCATACTGGACCGGGGTCACTCCTGGTGGGCTTCCCCAGCATCACCTCGGCATTCGTGTCGTCGGTCTGGACAGGTCTTCCAAGGCAAAGAGATGACTGCCATTGGGCAGACAATGCCCCGAGCGTGCTTCTCTGTACATACGTACAATAACATGGAACTATTGCGGTACAGGCTTATGTGTCCCCCGTATACATCAAGAGGCGGTGTTTTCGTGTGGAGAAGAAAGAAAGGGACGCTGGCGCAATGCGACTCAGCGCCCATGGACAATGCTCTTCGCTTCGGATCCATCCCTCGACATTCCGATCTGCGGGCCGGTGGATCTAACTTGATTCGGATGACATAGGACATGGATACGGAGAGACAGACGAACAGAGAGTGCGGAAGGCAGCAGGAGATGAAGAACGACAGTCGACGAATGTTGAGATGAACATCATCGTCTCGTAGTTCTCCAAGCACCGGGAGTTTTAGTTCAGGGGGGGAGGGGCCGTCTGGCTGCATCTTCAGATGCATTGTGCTCAGCTGGCTGCAGGGCATTTTCCCAAAGTTTCAGCGTGGCGTGCGGAGAACCTAGCTGGCGCTGTGTTCCTCGTCGATCCGGCACTTTGGACCCTTTTCTTGGCGTCTGCCTAGGAGGACAGGGCGCTGGCCGGTATCACTTAATATCCAAGAAGCTTCTTTTGATCACCCATGACCATGCCGACGACCCGATAGGGCAGCTAATGGCGCATTTTTGGCAGGCTTCTAGCCCGGCCATCGTGTGCGAAACCTCCGACTTGCGAGCAGCAACCGGCGGGAGGCCGGGGCCGGGGGCCGGAGAAGCTTTTCGGTGTTGCCTTCTGAGTTTTGGCTTCAAATATGCCCTCCGTATCTCTTATATTGACCTGTCGGATAGTCCCGGCTGCGTCCTTTTTTTTGTTTGTAGTTCTCCAAGAGAACGGCGGCGCCGATTTCTATCTGCGAGAAATGCGAACTTCCTCAACTCATAGTTGCGACAGAATGAAACACCAGCAGGCTGATCCCAGTGGTAAGTTTCCATCAGATAGACAGACAAGGTGGCAATCAGGCTCTTTCATGACACTAGCATTGATTCATCAGCCTCCGAGGTTGATCCCTACGTCTATGGTATTGGCTTTTGTCTTCTCTCAGTCGTCAACATGCGAACATGACTCTCTTTTTTGGTCTTTTGCCCTCCCAACCCTGCCGAGAACTCCTGCGTGATGCCATCACTGTTGTCTCGATTAAGCCCGCTGCCTTTGTCTAGGGGCAGCGCGAATAATATCGTCTACACGGAGAAGAAGCTGTTGGAAGTTAGATACTTGTACCGCCATCATAAAGAACTTGGATCAACATACCTCTGCTGCTTCGCTGGCAGAAGAAACAACCGCTCTCTTCAGCTTGTAGCTCTCGACGACACCCAGGTCGCGCATGTCGGCAATACCACCGCTGGGCGTCAGCAGGTCGAGTCCGTAATTCGTCATGCCGTCATAGATAGCCTTCCTCAAACGGGCGACAAGCTCGCCAGAGTCAAGACCGGCGTTGTCAGCCAGGATGGTGGGAAGCTGGCGCAGAGCAACAGCGAAGCTGCTGACGGCCATCTGCTTCTTGCCCTCAACGCGGGTAGCGGCGCCCTCGACGGCCTTGGCCATGTTCATCTCAGCACATCCACCGCCAAGAGTGGTCCAGGGCTCCTTCACCGTCTGTGACAGGACGGCCAGCGCATCGTGCAGACTGCGCTCAGCCTCGTCCAGGAGCTGATCCGTAGCACCACGCAGCACAATCGTGCAAGCCTCGCCCGCAGCGACACCGGAGAACTTGATCAGAGTGTCCTCGCCAATAATGACCTCCTCGATCACATCACACGATCCCAACTTGACCTGCTCGGGGTGGTCGAAAGTAGAAGCAATCTCACCGCCCGTGACCAAAGCCAGTCTCTCAATACCGTCAAAGTCGGCGTGCTCGATTGACATGATGCCCGCGTCCGTGAAGAGCTGCTCGGGCCAGTTGTAGATGAGTTGTCTGTTGATGAAGCAGTTGATACCGTGCGCCTTGATCTTCTCGACCTTGGCCTTCATCTTCTCCTTCTCCGCCTTCTCGAGATCAGCCAGCTTGCTGGTGGATCCGACCTTGACACGAGCGCCAAAGATCTTGATCTTGTCCGTGTCCATCGATGTGTTGGCAACGAGAATCTTGGCCTTCTCCAAACGCTTGGGCTGGTTGACACCAATCTTCTTATCGAGAATAAACCCCTCGTCGAGGTAGGAGTCGCTCAGCTTGCCGCCGGCCTTCTTGATAATCTGGATGTGGCTCAAGTCGGATGAGTTCTTGAGTCGGAGCACGGCGTCGGTGGCGAGCTTGGAGAAGTGGTCGCGGTCCTGGGCGAGGACCTTGGAGCTAAGGGTGGTACGGGCGATGGCCTGCATGTCTTTTCTGAAGGCCTCGGGGTTGTTGCTGCGGTCGACGGCAAGCTCGTTCAGGGCCTTTAGGGCAGCCTGGCTGGCTATTCTGTAACCCTCAATGATGGTCTGGGGGTGGATCTTCTTGTCGACGAGCTTCTCAGCTTCACGGAGGAGCTCCGCGGCGAGGACAGCGACGGAGGTGGTGCCGTCACCGACTTCGTCATCCTGAACCTTGGAGATGTTGACGAGGACCTTCGCGGCCGCGTTGTCGAGGGCAATAGACTTGAGGATGGTGGCACCGTCGTTCGTGACCATAATCTCGCCGGTCGAGCTGGATGGTTGTTTGTCAGCCAAGGCGGTGGACCCTTGATGATGCTCATGGCGGGATTCACGAGGGTTCAACCTACGCAGACTGCAGAATCTTGTCCATACCCTTGGGGCCGAGGGTGCTCTTCACGAGGTCGCCAACTGCGATGGCGCCCACGAATGCGGAGAGACGGGCATTCTCTCCCTTCTCCTCGGTGGTTCCGTCCTCGAAGATTTGTGTCGGGCTGAAGGACGACTAGAGGGGTCCAAATCAGTACAGGAGGCTCAGACAAGGCGTGGCAGGTCCACGAGGGCGACGAACCATTGTGAATATATTATCCAGACACTCTGTTTCGGATCGAGACGGTGACTGATGTGGCGGGGGAGGGAATCAAGGTCGTGGTTTGTACGGGTTCCTTCAGCCTTGGGAGCTTCACTGAGAAAATCGACCTCGAAAATTTGGGGGGGTTCAGCCTGGCGAAGTGGGGTGGTCTGGGCAGCAGCTTCCAGGCGCGCTGTGATTAGCGAAGCAGAGCTGCTGGACTGTTTCTACAGACGTCCATCCTCCACTGAAGCCGCTGTATGTGGCCAGTGCACGGCAGGTACCTTACACCGCAGGGCATCAACGGGCGGGAGGGGCAGGTCAAGGGCGGTGAAGAGTAGGTAGAGAGCTTCGCAGTGACAGCGATAGGGGACCGGCAGAATCACACGTGACTGAAATCAGGTAGCGAGGGGCTCTATCCGGAGCCGGAAGAACCAGCTATTCCAGCCCACACGAATGCCAGACCTACCGCCGAAAACTTCACAGAAGAAGCCCAAATTGTGTGCGAGGTAGCTGTTGACCCCCTGGTATTATTCTTTTCGAAGCTCATCAACGCTGTCAAAGTCACCAGCATCTGACACTTCAGCCTATCAGTGTATTTTGCGCCAAACTTCGGCCTTTGAAGCCTGTATCTTCAGCCAGCCGAAGCGGTCCGCAGCTCGGAAACCCTCACAAACCGAAAAAAATCGCGGGGCACTTTTTCGTCCAAAGAAAGGCCAGGACACCACCCCACATCTCACAACTGGGCACCTCTTTTTTTCCCACCACATCAAACAGCATCGCACCGCAAATCGCGCCCTTCACCGAGACACACCCCCTCCCATTCCTTGCCACCAACGAAAAACTACTGCGAACCCCGACCGTTGTTGCTGTGTCCCAAAGTCGCAATCATGGCGTTCGCCCAGCTGCAGGACGCGAACCTCGACGAGGAGGAGTACGATGAGGAGGAGATTGACATTTCCGACCTGCGCGAGAAGTACGAGGTTCAGTTGGAGCAGGGTTACGACGCTTTCGTCGTCGTCGACGGCCTCCCCGAGGTTACCGAGGAACAGAAGCCCAAGCTTGTCAAGTTCTTGTTGAAAAAGTTGAACTCTGTTGGAAAGACGAGGGAGGATCTGATTTACATGCCCATGGGCGACAACGGCAAGTCGCTGAGGTACGTCTCGCCCAGTGGATCTGCTGCACCTGCTCCCGCGCTGCGGGGGGTCAGGTTGCGCAAAGAAAGAAGCACGATGGGATGCTGACACCCAGAACAGATTTGCCTTCGTCGAGTTCTCCTCCCCCGGTGAGGCCGCCGCCGCTGTCCGCGGACTTGACCAGGTCCCTCTCGACAAGAAGCACACCCTTCGCGTTAACAAGCTTACCGATATTGAGCGCTATGGAAAGGAGGGCAAGGTTCAGGAGGAGTACACGCCGCCTCAGATTGAGGAGTTTACCGAGAAGGAGCACTTGAGATCATTCCTGAAGGACCCCAGTGGTCGCGGCAGAGATCAGTTCGCCATGTACCGTGGCGAGACTGTTGGCGTTTTCTGGAACAACGAGAAGGACGTGCCCGAGAACATCGTCGACCGTCAGAACTGGACCGACAGCTTCGTCCGCTGGTCGCCCCAGGGCACCTACCTCACCTCGGTCCACAACCAGGGTGTTCAGATCTGGGGCGGTGCCTCATGGACACGGCAGCAGCGTTTCGCCCACCCCAACGTTACCTTTGTTGACTGGTCCCCCAACGAGAACTACCTTGTTACCTGGTCTGCCCGCCCCATCTCCATCCCCGAGGAGGGCCACCCCGCGCTGTCCATCGACGAGGATGGCAAGAACTACATCGTCTGGAGCGTCGAGAGCGGCAAGCCTCTGCGTTCCTTCGCCAACCTGGACATGACTGGCCTGGACGAGGCCAAGCAGCGCAAGCTCCTCTGGCCCGCGTTCAAGTGGTCCGCCGACGAGAAGTACGTTGCCCGTCTCAACTACCAGACCGGTATCTCTATCTACGAACTCCCCCGCATGAACCTCCTCGACAAGACCTCCATCAAGATCGAGGGTATTATGGACTTCGACTGGGCCCCCGCCACCGTGCAAAGAGAGGGCGTCAAGACATACGAGCAGCTCCTTACCTACTGGACCCCTGAAATCGGCAGCAACCCCGCCAAGGTCGGCCTCATGAGCATCCCCAACAAGGAAGTCGTCAGACAACTGCCCCTCTTCTCTGTCTCCGACGCCAAGCTCCACTGGCAATCCGAGGCCGCCTACCTCTGCGTCAAGGTCGACCGTCACTCCAAGTCCAAGAAGTCGCAGGCCACAACCCTCGAGATCTTCCGCATCAAGGAGAAGGGCGTCCCCGTCGAGGTTGTCGACACCATCAAGGACACTGTCATCAACTTTGCGTGGGAACCCAAGGGCGACAGATTCGTCATCATCACAACAACGGAGCCCGTCGGCCCCACGGCCGTCGCCCCCAAGACGTCCGTTGCCTTCTTCTGCCCCGAGAAGGCCAAGGGCAACGCCGTCGGCAACTTCAAGCACCTCCGCACGTTGGACAAGAAGAACAGCAACGCCATTTACTGGTCTCCTCGCGGACGTTTCGTCGTCATCGCCACCGTCCACAACCAGCAGAGCTCCGACCTGGACTTCTTCGACCTCGACTTCGAGGGTGAGAAGCCCGAGTCCGACAAGGATCTGACCGCAAACCTCCAGCTCATGAACACTGGCGACCACTACGGTGTCACCGACATTGAGTGGGACTCCTCAGGACGTTTCGTCGCCTCCTGGGCTTCTGCCTGGAAGTCACCCGTATGTCTTACTCCACTGACTCACACCCCTTGACTCATTCGACTCACCGCTAACTTTTGCGTACAGATGGAAAACGGCTACCACATCTACGACTTCAAGGGTGAGTGCCTCCGTGAGGAGCCCATCGAGAAGTTCAAGCAGCTGGCGTGGCGGCCCCGCCCCGCGACTCTCCTTAGCAAGGAGGAGCAGAAGCAGATCCGCAAGAACCTCCGCGAGTACTCCCGCGTCTTCGAGCAGGAGGACCAGGACCGTGGCGCCTCCGCCGACCGCGAGGTCGTCGAGGGCCGCCGCCGCCAGTTGGCCGAGTGGCACGCCTGGCGCGAGTCCCTCGAGGAGGAGGTCTCCATGGAGCGCGAAGACCTCGGCCTGCCCAGCGACATTGTCGCCCACCTCCTCTCCAAGAAGGCCGCGGTGCCCGAGGGCGAGGAGCAGATCATCGAGGAGATTGTGGAAGAGGTGCTCGAGGAGTCCGAGGAGGTTGTTGCCTAGAGAGAGGGGGTGTTTTCCTTTGCTTTTCCTGGTTTAGATCATCAGCCGCGACGGGAAGTATCATTGCGCAAAAAAGGCAGTGGAGGAGGAGAAGAGAGTTGAAAAGTATAGGGATCAAAGCCTCCATTCCCAGTTGTTTGTTCCATTTGGGCGGTCAGGTGGAGGCTGGGGTGGTAAAGGACGGCTAATTCATTATGGATTTGAAAGACACCACACCTTTCGCATCACCAATGTGTATGATGATGATTTACATGAGGGTATTTGTTGGAGTAGGTTTCTTAACGGCCTTTTGCCCCTCAGCTTAATGATGAAGCGAGTGAAAACGCCTGGTTCTCCAGAAGTTTTTTGCGATGCCATATTCGGTGCGTTATCCTAGCGTGAAGTAGGGGCTTCAACATCGTCTCTCAGGGACCCCCACAAGATGCATTTCGGCAGCAGCCTGCCCAAGCCGAAGCATGCGTTCCCAATGTCATACCCCTTTCATTCTACATCTCATTCGGTATCCTGGAGACATTCACGCATCATGCGGACAATCACCCCGGAGGCACAAATACACAACACTCTCCATGGATTTCTTCTACAATACGACTTTGATGACGAATAGGATATTCCCCAAACACCCCCCAGCACAGAAAAGTGATCAACACCTGCTCCAAAGTTCAACACAGAACTCCCACCTGGATTGGCCAGGAACCAACAAGATGTGGATCGCAAGCGACGCCCAAGAACGTAGGTTATAAAAGGTAAGAAAACGCCAAAGATGCAGGGAAATCTTCTTTCTATACAGGTAATGTGTAAATAATCCCCGTAGGTATCCAGAAGAGGACACACCACAAAAAGAAAAAAAAAAGACATTTGGTTTTATCCACAAAGGTATTCCCGCGTGTGAAGGCGGTGTTGTATATATATCTACAATTCCCCCATTTGGCCCGTATAAGTCTTTACGTCGACCGAGACACGGGCGATGCTCGCGCGCTGCGAAACATCCCCTGGTACGACGTGTGATGATTTTTGGAATAAAAAGAACAACTCCCGCCCCCAAGATCCAGAAGAGAAGAATAGAAGAGACAAAAAATGCCACACAGAAACCAGCTCCCACAAAATGCTTGTCCATCGCGCCACTGACGCCGGTGTTTCTTTATACACGACCTCCTCCACATTCAAGCCCCTTTCTCGCTGTTCCAGGGGCTCGGTGTGTATTGATATTCGTCGTTTGTGTGTATGTGATTCGCCTCCGATGGGGGCCCGGGGGGTGACTGCTTCCCGCCCGCGGCCCAGGAGATTAGATATAAACAGTTAGGATCATGTCGTATGTTCCAAAAGTCCGAGTGTAATTCATTCAAGCGTTAAAAGCAACGGGTATGAGAGGCGGAGGCGAGGGATTCTCAAGCCTTGCCCGCCTCCCGGACCAGCTTCATCCATCGGTCCTCCGCTCCGTCGTCGCCGACAACGGCTTTGCGGGCGTCCTTGTTGTTGGCACCGCCTTCAATGTACTTCTTGGCCTCGCCGGGCGACTTGATGCCGAGCAGCGCCATCTCGTGGCGCATGAGCATGGCGACGGCGGCGCGGACGAGGACGGTGTCGCCCTCGAAGACGTACACGTCCCACAGGCGCGCGGCCTCGTCCATGGGCAGATGGCTGGTGCCAAGGCCCATGAAGAAGTTGCCGAGGTAGAAGTCGGCGTCACCCTGGGAGATGTCCTTGGTCAGGTGCTCGTGCAGCTGGGCCGACTTTGCGCCGAGTGTCTGCATGACGAGGTTGTAGGCCGACGCCTTGGCGCCCGGGTCGTCGGAGTAGAAGCTGAGGGGGAGAGGGCGGTTGAGGACGTTGGCGAGGGCGATGAAGGCCGATGCTGGCGTGGGCAGGTTCAGCAGTAGGAGTGCGGCGACGGTCTGGGAAGACGTTAGTATAAAGTCCGACGATGTGGTGTGACGCGGGTGTTTCAAAAAGAGGATAGGTCACTTACGTTACACCCCTTGACGTAGCCGATGTCGCTGCGGTACAGAGCATATGCAGACAGCACGTCGACAAGGCTCTGGTGGAGCGGTCCGCCGACCTGGAAGATACGCAGATCCTGCCAGGTGTGCTCGGCCACGTCTTTGCGGATGCTCGAGATCCACGCTGATTTCCTGATGTCCTCCGAGTCGCCTCTGCCGCCGTTGACGCGCTCCTCGAGCTCCTGAGCCCGGCCCAGGGCGGCGTTGTACGACGTTTCCGAGAGGCCGAGTTCGTTGCCGATGGCCCTCGCCCAGACGGTGCCTCTGCTGCGCGGGGCGATGCCCTTCCACCAAAGCTCGCGCGTGCGGCGCTCGCGGACAGCGTCCTTCCATCGGGGGATGATGTCGTCCTCCCAGATCCGCTGCAGGGTGTCCGCCGTAGAGTCGCGTGTCGCCGTCTTCGCCTGCCGCGAAACCTCGCGGCGACGATCCGCCTCGGCGCTGCGCGCCATCATCTTCTTGTACTCGCGCAGGTGGCGCCTCTCCTCGGCCGGGTCCTTGGGTGGGAGCCAGGAGGGGCGCGTACGACTCAGGACGGCCTCCTTCTCCTTGGAAATTGGAAGTGGGTCGATCATGATGTTCGTCTGGTGCCGGATCGGCGGGAGCTCGGGCAGCGCAGACTTGACCCTGGGCTTCTGCACATGCTGCTGCTGCTCGAGCTGCTTGCCGCTCCACGTGTTGGGACGCCCCGAGGGGTTCGCGTTCTCTGCGGCGCGTTCGCGGACGTAGTCGGAGTGCTCCTCGAGCTTCTCGGTGAGGGCCTTGGCCTCGGAGCTGAGGTGCTCCAGTGCGAGGTTCCAGCTTTTTGCACGGGTTTTGAGCGGCTCCGGCGGCGGCGCGTGGCCATTTTCCCCAATGGAGGAGAGGGCTGTGTCGGACTTCCAGGAGGGGGATCGCAGACATCCTGAGTCAACAGGGACAGGGGGTGTTCCGTTCCCGACACTGCGAACGCGCTCTTTCTGGTGTGGTCTGTTTGGCGATCTCGACTTTGACGCTCCTGACGAGGTCGGCCTGCTCGGTGTGCGCTCTGATCGCGGGCGGGGGGAGATGGGCACGTTGTCGAGGATGAGGCCATCGGGGATGTCGTCGGTGTCGTCCTCGTCACACTCCTTTTCCAGCTCAAAAATTGACTTTCGGTCCTGATTCGACTGCCAGCTGCCGCGGCGAAGCTTCATGGGCATGTTGGGGTCTCTCGGAAGTAATGAGAAGTTGGGGCTCGGGCTGCGGTTTCGGCGAGAGAAGGGGAGGGAGGTCGTCGAGTGGCTCGCGAAGCCTCGTTGGCTCGGGTTCACCGGACTCCTGTGACGGTCGGGAAGGCGACCAGCGCTCGGGCTGCGGCCATTGCTGAGGGCGTGGCCGTCGGTCTTGAGAGAAAGGAAAGGGGGTCGTGAAGAGCGGGAGTTCGGGGCAAGGTCAGCGGCGGCGTTGGTCGCACTCCTCGGCTTGGCCAGGTCTCTCGTCACGGGCGGAGAGCGAGAGGGAGGTCGCTTCCATGATGTCGGGCGGAACTCGGTGGAACTCGTCGAGTAGGATCTCGCGTACGGCTGGCCATGGGGGTTCTTGACAGCGTGAGGGTCGCGGACACGGGCGGCTTCGTAATTGTTTGCATCGTCGTCGAGACCGATATCTTCAAAATGGCTAACGTCATCCAGGACGCTGTTGTCGTCGGAATGGAAAGACTTGAAGGAAGAGGACTTTGACGATTTGGAGGACGTCATGCCTGGCGGCGAACCTGGACTGGGACCGCTAAGATCAACGTCTTGATGCCCGTATATCATCATTGCATCGTCGGGCTAAGAGGTTGGGAAGAGGGAAACAAGAACAAGAAAAGAAAAAAAAGCTTGTTTGGTGGTAACAATAGTTTGGGCAGGACGGTATGCCGAGACCTCCTTGGTTGCTTCGCTCGCTCGCCTGGGCCTGGGGGAGGACGGGGCAACACCAGCAGACAGGCGTGAAGAAGATGTGGATATTCAGGGTGATGGATACCAGGTGGTATTGCGCGGACTGGAGTAGAAGTCTGGCGTGGAGCAGGGGGACGGGCTATGCTAATGCTGTATGCTTGTCGAAGTGTATTGTGCTCCCGTTGTGTGTGCCGTACAGTATGGAGTAGGTAATGTTGATTGATGGTTTCCCTGGGATCCTGGGTGTTGGCCTGGTCTGGGTGCTGGGGTCCGGTTCAGTTCACTCGCAGAAGGCAATTATGCGAAAGGGTAGAGCCTGGCTTCTGACGGGGGGGATTGCGGGCAGATCCCTGGCGCAGGCTTGGCCGGTGCTTGGTCGTCTTGTCTTTTCGACGAGGGATGATGAGACGAGACGAAGGCAGCGTCTGTGGGTACAAACCCCTTGATGCTCAGTGTGCGCGAAGCCCAGGTCAACTGTCTCGAATTGGCTGGGATGCGGGTAGCGGGGTGGCCGGTGTCAAAGGTCACAAGGTTTGAGTTGCTGTCTGTGTCGAACAGGAGACTGCTGGAAATAGGTCGGGTTGGCTGGCCTTTCGTGCGCTTTTGGAGAGATGTTTGAGAGGTTTCCTTCTGTCGTTCGAGAGCGCCTCGTCTCAGGATTGGAGGGCTCAGGGTAGTATAGAAACGAACGGCGGGGTGAGTTTGAGTTGAACTGAGTTGAGGGAGCGCGGTGCGTGTGTGCCTGGGCCCTGCTGACGATCCCGCGGTCGGTGGACGGGTTCAGAGTGTTGTTCAATTCGGATTAGGGGTAGCAGGTAAGACCGTAGGGGAGGAGGGATTGGCGAAGAATGTTGATGACTTTTGTTTTGGGTGGTGGTGAATGTACAGAAACAGCGAAAAAGGAGGGACGTCCGTGAGCGGCAAAGGGAAGAGAAACGTAGGTAGCGAGCGACTGTGCCGTCAATGTCCGGAGAAGAGGTGAGACCAGAAAAAGTCTGTCCCAGGTCCGAGTAGCAGGTAGGCTGTGAAGAAGGACCGGAGTTGGTTGGAGAAGAAATCCAATGCTACAAACAAAACAGGCGGCCTCTAGCACGGACAGGATAGGGCTGTAAGAGGGGTGGTTGAAGAGGGAAGAATAAGCGTAAGAATGAGGTAAGGTACGCAGTAGAGGTAGAGGAGGATTGGAGGAGCCGGAGGTCGGACGAAGAGTGTCAAAGTGTGAGGATGCCGTCGCCGATGGTCGATTGACGAGCTGATAGGCAATTGGCAAGGTAGGATTCCAGCTGGTGGCTATCTGCAGACTCCAAACCAAAGCACAGGTTGGATGTGAAGTCTGAAGCCGGAAGTCTGGGTGACTGGAGACTCTGGGAGATGAGAGGGTCCAGAGGTTGACGGCAATTGGGCAGAGGCGAAATGACGGCAGATTGATGGATGCTAAGCAAGCAGCAGCAAATGAGGGACAATCAACGACAGCAAGTGCACCAACAAGGACCAGGAAAGCAGGGACGAGACAGGACGAACAACGTGCCGGCGGTGTCGTCAAGGAAAACCAGGGAAGAAACCAAGAAACGGGGCAGAATGCAGAAAGGGGTGGAGGGGGGGAAGGGAAGGAGGGGAAAACAGGATCCGATGCGGACGGGATGAGATGGATGGATGGATGGGTGATGGATAGGTTGGGTTGGGTTGGGATGCTGGACATGCAAAAATTGGAGACGCAGTCAGGTCAGGGCAGTCAAAGTCAGGATGATCCTCCTGGACGGAAAGACCATCATCAGCGATGAGAGTGCTGATAGACACGGGAGAGAGGCGCTGCTAAGGCCCAGAGAGGAAGATGAGAGACGATGCGGACAGCGGTTCAAGCGGGCGGCCGGACCTGACGTGGAGACGGGCAGCGACGGATGCTGCGCAGATGCTAATTTTTTATTACTCTGGAGTCGTGGACTCATCCACTCATCAGCACTGCAAGATTCGCTGCGTCTTTGCTGCCCTCAATTTCCTGGGTTTGCAGGTCTGGACCATCATTGGGGGCGGGACGGCGGTACTGTCATCTGGGTACGTACTCTGTTCAGCAGTCAGCTCAGGTGGTGAGGCTATCAGTGATGAGTTGTAAAATTACAATTTGTGCCTGCGTTAGCTCGCCGACTAGCGACGACGACTCCGATGCGGTGATGGGCGACGGGCGACGATCGATGAGCGACGAGCAGCGATGACTTGGTGGTGGTGGCCTGTTCCGCTGATTGATGGTGCAATACCTTACACCTTACACTTTACTTAGTAGGTACACTAATAAAGCAGGCAACTGAATAAGGTATTCGTAGAAATAGTACTGCGTGTGTGTGCACTGTGCACATGCTCATGAGGAGCGACACCGAGAACCACTGAACCAGAGTTTGCAAAAAGATGACGATTGTCGAATGTCGGGGGATCACTGGGATCAATGCTGTTCATGTCGAGCGGTAGATTGGACGAAATGCAGGCGATGCTGGAAATGGCACCCTCCCTTTCGCTGAGGGTGTGAAGGCCTGCCGCTGGACTCCTCTCAGGACTCAGGAGAGCCTGGAAGGGCAGGGCAAGGCAAGAACATGCAGCCCAGGTGTTGGTCCGCGGAATAAACAGGCGCTGGCTGCAGAAACCTGAGCGAAACATGCACAGCCAACAGGCACACAACTGTCACAAACAGGATTGATTCACTTGACTCTGTCTCTTATTGTTGCCGGTTGGTGATGACAACTGAGGGATCCACTCGGACATTGCGGAAATCAGCGAAGGAAAAAGAAAAATCAAGAGAAAAAAGGAGAGAGCGGCCAGACGTGTCGAAACTCTGGAAACCGCCCACTTGCCCGCAGGCTTCATTTTCGCTTATCCGTACCTTTGGCTAGGGGAGGTACGTACTCACTGCCCGCGCACTCCACTGCTCACCCAGGGAAGCAACGATGGTCACCCCACTGAACCGGGCACTGCCTTCCCTCCACATCACTCCACTGCACTCAGGGAAGTCCGGTCGGGGCCACGTGATGACCTACACATCAAGTGCGAACCAGATCCGGACTAACCATACTCCGGCTCTTGTTCCGTCAGGTCCTGCCTCCCGTCCAGTTCAGCACTATCTCAGATGCTTCATGCTTACCTAAGACATCCTTAGACAATGGTCAAGCACTCTCAGCCTCTCTGTTGAAACGAGCCCGCTGTTTCCAATCATCCACGAGGACCTGCCATCCGCATCTGAGCCTGTCCCGCGAAGATGCTTGTCTCTGCTCCCTCGTTTTGGCTGACACCGCCTCTTCGGGTGCCTCAAGCAAGTGTTTGGGGAGGGGACGTGGAGCCGCTATGAAGCTTATCAGCACCAACACGATGCAGCCTACGCCCAGTTGGTGAGGTCGCTGTGCGATACGAAGCCGTATTCACATGCCCCTCAGTAAGCCCTATCGCCATCACCCACTAACCTACCTTAGAGACCTCACGGTGAGGAATCACATCACGACAATTCTTGCATCTTGTCTTGCACCCGCATACAACAGTCACCGCCAGTACGATTGACAAATCGTCGTTGTTGCAAGTACCCTCCTATAAAGAGCGTTCGAGGAAACACCATCATGGCTCCGGCCAAGCTTTTCATCTTCTATCGCGTCAAGCGCAACACCGGCCGTCATCCCGTCCGCGATGGCCCCGTACAAGTCCCCAAGCACGGCCCCACTCTCCGCCGCCAAATGCGCCTTCATCACGGCCAAGCTCGCCGCCATCGCCTGCGTCTTGATGCTCATGATATCCGGCACCAGCCTCCTCAGAGGCAGCCACCCAGAAACCACCGACCTGCGCGGGAAGCCCTTCTCAATGGTCTCGGTAAGCGCTGCCACTAGCCGCCCGGACCCTTCAAAAGGTTCCCCAAAAGGGGGCAGACCGTTGGAGAACCAGCACACCATTAACCGCCATCAAAGTTCCGAGGCGTCGCCGCCGCAGCCGCCGGCGATGCGCCTCCTTACCTAGCCAGAATGCATTGGTTCCTCGACTCCTTCGCATGGGAATGGCTTGCGAACAACACCGCGCACCGCGACGCCGCCAATTACGTCTTCATCCAGCCCCTCCGCCCGCTGCAGATGCCAGCTGTGCTGCATGACGTCGCTGATTCGCTGTACCGCGCCGGCCACATGATGGACACCTGCCAATCTACACATTTAAATGCATCGGCCACCGAATCCTGCATTCGCGCGAGCCAGCCCTTCTTCGCAGCCTTCGATGCCGCGGAGCCGCTGCGCCTGGATAATGCCCCGGCATTCGTTCTATACGTGCTCGCACTCGTGGCCGACGTCGTGTCTCCTGCTCTGTTCAGCTGTCTCGCCTTCTTCTCCGACGGTGGCGTCGAGCAGCGTTATCCGTGGCTCAGGACTGGTGTGCTGGCGCTGCCCGTGGCTTTCCACGTCATCTCGGCCTCAATTTTGACGTCCAACGCCAGCTTCCTCGTGCGCTACCTCAATCGATTCCCGGACGTCCCCGCAGACGCCGCGATTGGGCTGCGCTTCTTGGTCGTTGCGTGGTCTGGCGTCATTGCCGAACTGTTGGCCTTGGCGCTCAGCATCGCACGCGTCTTTTTGTTGCGGCTCTGGGCCGTCAAACGCAGGCGCAGGTCCGAGATCATGAAAAGAAGCATTCCATGAGAGTCTCGGATGAAAGCAGATGATGTCTGATACAGTTGCGTTTCTTCAGCAACAGCCCCCCGCTTGCTGTCTTTAATCGTACATCATAATGTCTAATGCCCAATAGCCCATTCCCGATTCTGTGCAAAAGGAATTCCACCCTGCCGATCCGTCTTAGAATCCCCAAAATAGCTCGCGGCGCTTTGGAATTTCGGATCAAGATCTGGCCCTGAAGAATTCTGTCTGGTCTCACATGTCCGCCCTGTCCTCGGTCCCCTATCATTGATGACGATCTGCACGGCAACTGAGCCGAGCGAGACAAACAAACAGATTCAAGCTCTGTCGAACGCATTAAAGGCCTTTCTTTTCAAAAGAAAGTTTCACATCTCGATCCGAGTCCATGCTGCCGGAAAACTTGGGCACATGCTGGCTATTTTCTGCTTTACCTGCCGAAGAGGGATGGTTCGGTCTTGGCAGTCACGGGAAATGGCGTGCGCGGTAACCTAATTGACCGACAACAACGCATCCAGGGTTCATTTGGAAATGGAAGTCTCGCACAGGCGACCAGTAGAGGTTGCAAATGGGAACATCGAATGTCGTTGATGTAGCCTTGAATCTAGAGCGCCCTTGCAGCATGCTTTCCCCATCCATGGAAACCCGTTTGCGAAAAACGGCAGAATATGCAGCCAACATCTTGAAGCATAATTGGCACCTCGGCCTCACGGCGTTCGGGGGACCACCAGTGCACTTCAAAATTGTCTGTTCAACGATCCTCGTCGAGAAGTTGCACAGTCGTACACGTTGACTAACAACCGCAGCTGCATGACCGATTCGTGAAACGCCTGCAATGGATCGACGAGCAAATGGTTACAACCCTCGCGATCCCGATGATGACTTCAAGCCCCCTCTGATTCGAAGAATAGTACCAAGAACTCTTCAGCATCTCCCAGGCTCTCTCCGGCCCGGCGAGCACGAAGATGGTATACTGCATCAACCTGATCCGACATGGAGCCCCGGGTGCCATCTTGGCTTTCTTCATCTGGAGGTAAGGATGAAACGTCCACGAGTGGTAGAAAGACCAATCCCTATTCGCAGCCTCTGTCTAACCCTCTTTTCCCATAAAAAGCCTTCCGGGATCAGTGGGCCTGTATGCCCTCTCCATCGGTGTCTCCAGCATCGGCTCCTCGCTCCCCTGTGCAGTCTATGCCCTTCTCTCCGGCCTCAACGCCGCGACGGTGGGCATAATTGCCCTCGCCGCCGTCGAGCTCTCGCACAAAGCCGTGACTGATAGACTCACCCGCACGCTCGTGTTCCTGGCCGCGGCGGCAGGTATGATGTACAATGCGCTCTGGTACTTTCCCGTGTTGATGGCCACGGCGGGTGTTGCGGCCGTTGTGCATGATTACCGCTGGGTTCACCGCCCAGCGAGGAGAATTATCGGGGTGTTGAGGGCTCTGGGCGGGAGGAGGAGAGAAAGGTCACGGGACGACGGTGCTCACGGGCACGACTTGGCCGGCCCGTCTCCCGCAACCCGCATATCGGCACCGACCCGCGACGAGCCCGTCTTGTCCGGCGCAAATACGGCCCCAGAGCCCCGCGTCATCCCGAAGGAGTTCCGCCTCGATTTCTCCTGGAAATCCGGCACCACCCTCATCCTCACCTTCTTCGCCACCTTCCTCACAACGATGACCGTCCGCGGCGTGGTCGCCGACCTGCCCATCCTCTACAGGCTCTTCTCCAACCTCTACCTCGCCGGCACAATCATCTTCGGTGGCGGGCCCGTCGTCATCCCCCTGCTGCGCGAGTACGTCGTCGCCGAAACCTGGGTCTCCCCGCGCGACTTCCTCATCGGCCTCGCCATCGCCCAGTCCTTTCCGGGGCCCAACTTCAACTTCGCCGTGTTCCTGGGCGGGCTCACCGCGGCTAACGCGGGGTGCTCGCCCCTGGCCGGCGCGGTGGTTGCGTTCGTCGGCATCTTCACCCCGGGCATTGTGCTGGTTCACGGCACGATGGGCGTCTGGGGCGTGTTGCGGAGCAGACCGTGGGTCAAAGCGGCCGCCAGGGGCGTGAATGCCGCGGCTGTTGGGCTGATTTACACGGCAGTGTACAGGATCTGACAAGTTGGGTTTCTGGACGAGGGGTTCCAGGCGGGGAGGAGTCTGGGGGACGACCCGTGGTGGATCGTGGTCGCGGCCACGGCGTATGTTGGGGGGAGGTACTATGGTGTAGCCGCGCCTTTTGCGATCCTGCTTGGCGCGGCGATGGGGTTGGGAAGGTATGGTGTCGTTTCCGGAAGGGGTTGAGAAGGGACGAGCCTGCGAATCGAGTCGTGGGTGGGATCGAAATTCCGTCTGATGTAACGTCAATATACCTCTGCAGAAGGTTGTTTCATAAACCTCCTCAAGTAAAAGAGTTCCGCATGTCGGATCCTAAAGCTTGGGTTGCGATGAGTTTTACAAGGCACGTACAGCGATTAGAAAAACCTTGACATCAACACAATTGTTTCCCCCCGGCATTGTGGAAAAGAAGCCGGATAAGGGACGCTTAGATCAGTCGGATTTCCCGGACCGGAAACATATGCTGTACTATTTCGGTAATCGTTTGACACCTCTCAAACCACGTTTAAGATCGGACGATACATGTATAGATAAGATGCACGTTTGCCATGACATCACTGACTAATCTACTCGTAGCCGACTTCTAAAAGAAGACAATAAACCAACGCACGGCCGTCTACGAACTCCTTGGAGAACAGACTCCTGATGAGACAGAGGATTAGAGGCTATTCTGCCTAGGGAAGACGTCACCTGCGTCCACGAGGCTTACTTCGAGACACTATAGTCTTGGAAACCATAGAACACACGATCTCCAAGGCGGGGTGCCCGATTTCCAACAGCGTACACTGTGTTCGTCTAGATGCTCGAACCTTTCCGGTGGCGCCGCGGGTGCCGAGAACCCTGAATTGAAACCCGAATGCTGATAGGGGAGAAGCAAGAGCTCGCTTATCTTAGAGGAGCTTCTTCTGAGCCAGAACCTCGGCGGGGGATATTCAAAGTACCGCGGCTGTTGATCGTGATGCGAGGTTGAATTGTGAGCAGTTGAACCACATGCTCACGTTTGTTGGAAGCTTGATAGAGGAGCTGCAGCTGCTCAGCCTATCCGAAGCGTGCGGAGTGAGTAAGCGGGAGCTTAGTTATCAAGCAAGCATATAGTGTAATTATCATACCTAGTCTTTCACTGCTTTTGGTTAAATTGAAGTTGATAGGTTCGTCAAGAGGATTAAGAAGGATGGTGGTTAGACATCATCCCGTCGAAAATTTGAGGAAGCCGGCGTTACGCTCGGCCATAGCAAGGCATATCATCGGCCTCATGTCAGAATAACAGTATGAAAGGCATCGAGAAAAAAAATATCTTTCAGAACCGGAGGGGCTCGGAATGGGATCCGAGCCGTGTCCATTGTTATTCATCGTCGGTTGTATCCACTTTCGAGATTGATATTTTAGAACCAAAGCAAACTTCGGTCTTCTACTGTTCGTCTATTCCATGATGAAGCCTAAACCCTCAGCTGCGTACATGCTGCTCGGCTCGGTCCCGAACGTGGACGGTAATGATACACGAGGATATACGTGCAGCCATACTGACATGTGCCTGGACGTCAATCCTCTGACATGAAGTGACAATCGACCGGCTGGCAGCATGGTACATTGCATAGCATATCTGCTGAGAAGGCAACGCAGAACAATGTGATGTCGCCACACTCTTCCTGGAAGGAACCGAACTGCGGCCGCACGAGACTCATGCACCGGCTAGGATCGCTGATATGGGTCAGTAAAGGTGTTGGTCAATCTAGACTGCTATCATCCGTTCAGTTCAGGTTGGAACTTCGTAGCCCTTATCGTGGTGAGCCCGAGCCGGCATCCAGCTGGTTGAGATGACATGGTTTATGTACACACTTACCCAGACAATGTCACTCCAGTACCGACTCGTTGGTACTGAGAAGATCTTGCTCTGACGTACGATGGCTGCACCAAAGGAGAAGGAGCTCGGCACAGCAGGCTGACATGATTGCGCAAGCTAGATATGTCGCCAACCTCTTCCCGATTCAGATCATCCGACCAAAGGCTCTCGTAGCCCGCAAACCAGTTGCGGCGGTGCGTGAGCCAACGGAGATATCCAAAAGCATGCCATCACTTCCCTAGGAGCACCAAAAAGTTCCTCGCGAATCATCAGAAGCAAAGGCGTTGCGCATGTAAACGCGTGAATCGTACGGTTGCCTAACAAACGGGAATAGCAGATGATCAAGAAGGGCTCGGTGTAAAAGCGAAGCCTCGATGCTCGCGAAAGCTTTCTCGGGATGTCGTGATGGTGCTGGTGTTCCCAAAGCTGCATCGATGCCGGCGGTTGCGCCAATAGTGATAGGAGCATCGTTTACGCATGGGACAAAGGGAACACCTGCACCTGAGCCCTGTCTGCTGCTGCAGGTATCGGAATGCGAGGTCTTGGCTACCCAAACGAGGACTTCCTCCGCCCCTTCAGAGACGTCGTATCACCAGCCCGTGATAGAGGATGAGAAGAATACGGCGACCGTAGATGGGTGGCAATCATCCCGCTTGAGATGTCTGGTCTCTGTTGCTCAACCCCGCGATGAATAGCCAGTACTGAGGAGTTCCATCTACCGTTCGCGATGTTGCAGGTAGTCGTCGATCCTGTGGCGATGCCACTGATAATGCGCGCAGCCACACACGGCCTGCAGGTGTAAATGACGAAACACTTCTTCAGTGGCGAAACACCAGATTCATTTCATCCAGAACGTTGGAAAGCAGGTGATCATCCGGTACTAACGAAGTTCGTGGGAGAAGACTGGGCCCAGTGTTGCAATGCGCGTGGCGTCCTCTGAACCCACCACACATGTGCAGGTTGGATGCGCTTGCATGCTAAGGGTCTCTCATCCAGACTCGAGCGGCCTCCGCGACCGAACAATTGCAGCCGGGATTGTGGGTGTAGGTTCGTGGAACTGTGCAACAGCACTTCTTTGTGGCAGGCGTGGCTGCATGCCCAATCTCCAGACGGCAGCTCTTACAAGCACCTTTGCGCGGATAGCCGAATATCAAGCGGCATCTGCCGACTTGTTGCCAGCAGCGTTGAAACTGAAAGAGTTGACGATGGAGGCCTGCTGGACCAAAAGGCTTGGCTGCTTGGCGAGATATGGCGATAAGCCCAGGGTTGGTTGACGAATCGCATTCGACAGTGGCCATCAACTGGACGTCCCCTTTTCTGGGTTTATTCCAGAATACCTTCCATTTCGATCAGACTTCCATTGAGCGCCACCTGCGGCACGACAAGACGGGCCAAGCCAGCCACTGCGAATCGATCGATGCTATCGAACAGCACAACGGTTAGCCCGTTGGCACTGAGATGATGGCGCCGTTGCCGTAAGTGGTGTTTGACGGAATGAGATAAGTCGGCTCGTGAAGGGTGGCCTCTGTGGGAAGAGCAAGTTTGGCAGAGATAGGCCAGAAACGCCAAGGGACTCAAACGCGGAGAAGGTGCAAATGATTGGAGGACGTTTGATAGGATAAAGCCAAAATGTGAGCGTAAAGGGATGGTTGAAGGCCCAAGAAAATTCCAAGAGAAAACCAAGAAAAGCCAAGGAAGTGGTCGTGCCGACTTTTATATAGCGCGAGCCTTATCCTCCTGCCCGAACGGGACGCTGGAGGAGGATTGAAACCTGCCGACGCGTAGACATGATTCGACTGGTCCTTGACGAGAACTGTGCATGCCGATACCCGACCAATTCGAGATATCGAGGGTCGTTGGTAAAGAGGGGTATCATTGCAGGGGCCCTGAACGGCCGCTTGAAGGAAATCCACCGAGACGAAGACCAATATGGATGCTGGGGGGGGGGATATTGAACGATGGCTAGTGAGCGGCACAGACCTGCCACGCAATCAATCTCATTCGGGAGCAGAGACAGTCAGTTGCGGGCTGGTCTCACGGGACAACCTATCAAATCAAGCGCAGTTGGTTGGCGACATATTCCGCCAGCCTTCGTCTTTACTCCCAGCTCCATGTCGCGGGAACAATTCTCTTTTTGACGCCATGTTTGACGCACAAAAGTTCCCGGCATGAGACATGATTCAGAGCTGCAGGATATGGCGTGTGAGATGTAGCGGCGGCAACGACTGCGAAAGACTTCAGCTCTGAGGATGATGTGAAGTTGGATGAAGAGGACGTAGGAAGAGAGAAAGATGCAAGAAGAGAGGAAACTGTGGTCAGCTGGCAGAGGCCATAGAGAGCTTATTGCCAGCTGGCGATGTACAAGCTGGCCCGTGTTGGCGCCAATTTTAACCTTAAATGCCCTTGCATGGTACACGTGATCCGTCTCTCTTCATCCCCAGTGACACTTGGTTCCCGTCGTTCGGCCTTTCTTCATCATCCCTCTCATCTCTGCATTGAGCGACTGCTGGCCGATGGAACCGCCCTTTGCTTTGTTTGCTCTTCGCAGCATCCCGGTTCAAGGCCACAAGCTGACTGAACCGTCTCTCCGGGACATGCATGCATACAGGCTGGACCTCCAACAGGGAAACATCCGTCAGCTGAAGCCCTCTTGATTCCTCCTTCCACAAGTGTAGCTAGCCTTGATGCAGTCAACCAGGACCATAAGAGAAGCAAAAGTACCATGAGGGTCTTTTGTAAGCCTCGGCGTTTTCAAAGTCTCTGGCGACATCGCAATATTCTCTTCGGGAAGCCACTCGTGCCTCTCTACAGGAGAGGCTTGCTGCTAGAGCTACGCGACTTGCCTCATTCATCACGTTTGTCACCTCTTGAGTGGTTCCCATATTCATCTTACCTAATTCATTGGAGGGACTTGCTAATACCGCAAAGGAGACATTGATCTCCCAGGGTATCGTCATCCTGCAAGCCACACCCTCAATCTCTGATACTAAAAAGAAAGCACTGACGGTGTCTGTCGCCCCCTGTGGAACATGATTTTCGCAAACATGTCATGGCTGTAGATCTGAGCTGAGATTCATCAACTCCTCACAACAAGCGCTGCAAAAAGCGCGGGAACTAAACTCATGGACACGCCGTGTCTCCAGTTGACTGGCAGTGGCCCTCCCCCACGTAGCCGATGTACCACGCGACAGGGATGGCCGTGTTCAACTCCAAATCTCTGGGGCGTCCCTCCCTCTCAGCTCTGCGACCCTGTCAAGTCTTCCCCGCCTCTCTTCCTCTGACCTCAAGTGACCAAATAAATAATTGGCCAATGCAATCGTTTCCCTCGAGACCCTGCGACCAGACTGGGTCGCACGGCGCCGAGCCTTATGCTCAAGTTGGGGGCGAGTGACCCTGCTATTGCGAACCAATCTTCTCTGTCCTGCGTATCTGCTGTCCACCACCCTTGATATCGGCAGCATACCTGTCCGAGAAGGTCGATCTTTTCGAGAGCGAGCCAAGATGCTGCCCAGGCGGCCTAGACTGGGTATGCTCCTGAGAATCACCACAGAACCTTGCCACCTTTCGTCTACCCAGAACGAGCAGTCCAAAATATGCAGAGCACCCGGTTGGCATCTGGGCGCCGGCGGGGTGGCACCGCTGATAAGCGTTACCGTCTTCCTCGTAATTGGAAATACTTTAATTATCGGGTCCGTCCCGGGGAGCCAGCTTCGTCCTCGCCTGCAGTCTGTTCTTCTCTAGCCCCGACACACACGACGTTGTCGTCGAAAAACGCCATGGCGAACGAGAAGACCGAATCGCCCGTTACCCCAATTGAGATTGGGAAGACACAGGGCGTGTTGACTGATGAGAAGATTCCAACCGTGAGTACCATCAAGGTTGCGATAGACACGAAGAGTCACCGACGTTTATACTTTAGGACTACCAAGCACAAGAGCTGCATCGCTTGGACTCCGAGGAGCATGCCTTCGAGTCGTAAGTCACCATGAATAAAACCTCTAATGCTCGAAACCCTAGCTTACACCAAGGAAGTCAACTCAATGTCACCGAGGATGATCTCGTCGAGGCAAAGGCCATCGCCGCCACCCTCTCTCTGGAGGGCGTGCGCAAGATGATGCAGAATGTGCTCAAGATCCACGACCGTGACCCAAACTTCCCTCACAGCGTTCTCATCAAGATTCACGAGTTTCTCGGTCAGTCCCTGGTCCGACTCACTAGTGTCTCTGCGCAACGCTAACTGTAACAGACAATGATGATGTTATCGAGAACCCTGAGAAGCATGAGGAGATCATTTGGGAGATGAAGCTGGAGGCTGCCTTGATCACCAACAACAGCCCGTACGCCGAGGTGCGAGCCGTCGTCGACAACAAGGACGATCCGTCCATGCCCTGTGGCACGATTCGGGCCTGGACCATTGGCGTCTTCTTCTCCGTCTTCCTTGCTTTCATCAACCAGGTAACCTCATTTGCGCATCATGCAGTGACCAAAGCACAAGCTGACAGCCATCACAGCTCTTCAGTGTGCGCCAACCGCTGATCTCTATCGAATCCAACGTCGCCCAGCTCTTGGCCTTCCCCATCGGCAAGGCGTGGGAAAAGTGGATGCCAAACGCCATGATCCCCCTCGGCTTCGGCATCAAGCTGCCGCTCAACCCAGGCCGCTTCAACAAGAAGGAGCACATGCTCATCGCAATCATGGCCAACACAGCCAAGTCCTTGCCTTACACTCAGTACATTGTCTGGACCCAGGTTCTTCCCCAGTACTTCAATCAGCCGTACGCCAAGAGCTTTGCCTATCAGATCCTGATCGCGCTATCCACCAACTTTATTGGATACGGTCTTGCTGGTAAGTGACCGAGAACGTCTACGAATGAAGATCAGCTGTTGACATCCCAAAGGCCTCACTCGCCGATTCATCGTTTACCCCTCCTACTGCGTATGGCCCGCCTCCCTCGTCACGATTGCTCTCAACTCCGCACTCCACAACGAGACAAACACCTCCGTACCGGGCCCGTTCAAAAAGCTGTACTCAATGACCCGCTACAAGTTCTTCCTCTGGTCCTTCGGCGCCATGTTTATTTACTTCTGGTTCCCCAACTACCTCTTCGAGGTCCTGACCTTCTTCAGCTGGATGACATGGATCGCACCCAACAACCACAACCTCGAGATCACGACCGGCTTCCGCAACGGCTTGGGAATGTTCAACTTCTGGCCCACCTTTGACTGGAACGTGATGCTCTTCGACAGCGTTGACCCCCTCATGGTGCCCGCCTTCTCGACCTTCAACCGTACGCTGGGCATGTGGCTGCTCGGATTTGTGATTATGGGTATCTACTACACCAACGCCTGGAACACGGCCTACATCCCCATCAATTCCAACCGCGTCTTCGACCACTTTGGTGAGCTCTACAATGTATCGAGAGCGCTCGACGACCGTGGAATGTACGACCATGAGAAGTACATGGACTACTCAGCTGCGTACCTTGGTGCTGCCAATACCTTGGTCTATGGCTCCTTCTTCGCCCTGTACAGCGCCGCCATCACCCACGTTTGCATTTTCCACCGCTACGAAATCATGATGGGTTTCAAGAACATGTGGAACACCATTCGCCGTCGCAAGACTACCAAGGAGGGCGAGAACGACGGAGAGTACAAGGATATCCACAACCGCCTGATGGCCAACTATGCTGAAGGTAAGCATCGCAACTTGCCCTAGTTCCATTCTATACATTGGCTAACCGAACCACAGTTTCCGAATGGTGGTATCTTGGCACCCTTCTGGTTGCTGCGGCGTTCGGCTTTGCTGGTGTCGCTGGCTGGCCTACTTACACGACCCCTGGTGTAGTTCCCTATGGTGTCTTCTTGGCCGTAGTCTTCGTCATCCCCATCGGTATTATCAAGGCCATGACTGGTATCGAGGTTACGTTGAATGTCTTGGCCGAGTTTATCGGTGGCATGTGGGTTGAGGGTAACGCTCTGGCCATGAACTTCTTCAAGTCCTTCGGGTACGTGTGCAAACACATCCTCATCGACATCTTGATGGCTGACACTAGCACAGATACGTCACATGCGCTCACGCCGTCCACTTCGCCAACGACTTGAAGGTCGCGCACTACCTCAAGATCCCTCCCAGACAAACCTTTGCCTGCCAGATGATCGCCACCCTCATCTCGACCTTCATCTGCACCGCCGTCATCAACTTCCAAATCAGCATCCCCAACATCTGCACCCCGCAGGCGCCGATGCGTCTCTTCTGCCCCGGCCCCAACACCTTCTTCACCGCCGCCGTCCTCTGGGGCACCATCGGCCCGATCAAGGTCTTTGGTCACCAGGGCCAGTACAACTACCTGCTGCTCGGCTTCCCCGTCGGCATCGCCCTGCCCATCATCTTCTACTACTGCGTCAAGTTCTTCCCCAAGAACCGCTACCTCCGCCAGTTCCACCCCGTCGCCCTCTTCTACGGAGGCATCAACTGGGCCCCCTACAGCTTCTCGTACGCGTGGCCCGCGGTCCCCATCGCGTGGCTGTCGTGGATCTACGTCCGCAGCCGGTACCTCGCCTTCTGGTCTAAGGTACGTCTGCTCCAAGCCCCAATCTTGCTCTGACGAACTTAGCTAACACACCTTCCTAGTACAACTTTGTGCTTTCGGCCTCCTTCTCCGCCGGCATCGCCATCGCCGGCATCATCATGCTCTTCACCGTCCAGTGGTTCGGCGCCGAGGTTCCCTGGTGGGGTAACGAACAGATCGGCGCTGGATGCGAGGGTTCCGCGTGTACCCTCAAGACCCTCGCCGAGGGCGAACGCTTCTACCCCTGGTGGAACCCCTCCCAGGTCCCTGCTCCCTAAGCTGCTTCATCGCTGCTTGTCTCACTGGGCTCACCCGCTTTTGTTGGGCATGAAGTGATATTGTTCGCGGGATGTATGGACTTCTGCAGGCTTGCTTGCACTACCGGATCATCGTTTTGTTACATTCACACCGCGCTCACTGATTTACTTTTACGTTTCACGACTAGATGAGGCAATGGAGGCGATTTCACAAAACAATGCTGATTCTTGATTCCCCATATGTTTGTCATTGGAGGTTTTCCCCTCTTTCAACAGCACGATAATAGCAATCACTGAATACCACTCCTCATGCCGGACTCTGAAGAGTGACCGACTGGATTGTGCAAGTGACCGTGGTGCCACTGACGCTTGCGCTGACCCCAGACATGGTGTAAGTCGTGGCCGAGTTGTAGTTTTGAGGCGAGCTGTTGCACCAGCTGGAGTCCGAACCTCCCTCGGATGTCTGCACACAGCGTGAGGGCATGCCAATGAAGGACAGTCGACTCTACTTACAATAACAATGTTTTTGAACTCCAACGGGCCAAAGTCCCAGGAGACGTCATACCTAAATCACCATCAGAGAAATGCCAACTGGAGATCTTAGACCTACTTACAATTCAATAGCGAAGAGAACTTGATTGAACGATTTGTCGGCTAATATCATCATGTCAGGCGAAGGCTCTCACTCTCCATGACTGAAACTTACCCAACGCAAAATCGTTATTCACACTCTGACCATTGCTCTGCCTCATGACAGTCGTCGTCCACGCAGAACCATCCGCCTTAAGCGCATTCGCGAACGAAACCGTCTCCCCGCCGTACGTGTTGAACCCGCCGCCCCAGGGCAGGCTCGGGTTCGAGCAGCACCACCCGGACCCGAACCACCACGTGCCGGAGCGGCCGTCGAGCACGTTCTGGTAGACGCCCGAGTTGTCGGTGGGCTGCAGCCCGGGCCAGAGGTAGTACACCCCGGCCTGCTGCAGGGTCGGGATCACCATGTCCCCCGAGAAGGAGGTGAACTTCTGCCCGGAGGCGGGGTAGTACCGGAGGAAGTACCATGTCACTGCCGACACCGGATTGGCTAGCAGGAAGACCGATAGAAGAAAGAGGTTGCGATGCATGGTTGAGATAGATCCCCACTTGATGCAATACTTGGGCCGATGGGAGACAGCAATTGAACCTGTCGGTCGCTTCTGACTTATTTATGTTCACCTTGAAATCTCACCTGCCTCTTTTGACAAGTCCAGGGCATCGGCACATCATGGGGCACGTGTGATCAATCAAGTTGCGATAACCGTCACCGCATCACCAGTTGAGGAAACCTCGATACCACCTGAACCAGGGTGAACGGGTTATCTGCTTGAACGAAGTCACGCTGCCCTATCGGAGTTGCGTGAACCAGGCGATCCAAACAAGTTTATCGCTGCAACCTGCAAGAGTCCCGTTCGGAATCATTGAAGAGATGTGCCGACTGGCGCGGCAGTAGCAGTGATGATAACACAAACCTTCCAGGTTTGCTTTGTACGAAAGTAAACTGCTCAGCCAGCACTGTAGAGAGATGAAGTCAAGCTCTCGCGCATTTGCAGACTGTTCTTCTCCCTCATCATGTTTTGCTGGAGCCTGAGGGTGTCCAAGTCTTCGCAGCATACTGTGAACGAGGAGAAACAATGAGACTGCGTGTGAATTTTCTAGCCTAGCAGCACAGCGAACACAACAGCCCAAAGACTGTCTACAAGTTTTTAAAGTCAGAAACTTTGATGGTCCTACAGCCGATTCAAGGCTTGATGAAGTCCACACGATCGTTGGATATCGAATCAGCCAACTTTGGTCAGCGTCGTTTCTGGGGCACATAATGTCAGGTCTCTGCTCGCTTTGTCCATAGTCTTCACCTGCATAGTAGTCGAGCGAGTTGCAAGACATTCTATCGCCTTGGACTGTGCGGGTCGCTAATGAAAATCGGGTGTCTATCAGGGTTCTCATTTACTCCGTAGGCAGTCCACCAGGCGCAACAATCTTAAGTTGCTCGCTACCTCATTCCATGTCTGATCTTCTTTGCTTTGTTCAGCTTCTCTGTACTTTTCCCTTCTCAAAACTCCTGGGCCCAGTACGGCCGATTCCATCAGACACGTAACAATGCTCCCAATGTCATTTGGCGAGCCCTCGTCTCGCTCTCGATATCCAGGCAGCAGATCTAACCCCACTGCACAAGCACCTTCTTGCCCTTCTTCTTCTTGCCTCCAGTGGGAGCTTCCTCCTCCTCCCTCTCTGAAGCGTTCTCGCTCGCCGCGCCGCTTCCAGGGGCCGACCCCCAGCTGAAGTTGCTCGAGGCGCCTCCCAGGTCTCGGCGAACACCTCTGCCACCGCCATAACCAAAGATAGTGGTAAGAGGCTTTTGAGCCGGAGGTAGGGCAGGGAAGTTATCGCCGCCAGTAGCCGGTCGGACCTGTCTTGGTGCGGGTCCCGATGATCTGCTACCGTTGCTCGCGGACGGGTTGTTCGGGCCGATCCAGGACGGTCTCGGGGCTGCTGCTGCTGACGAAGACGACGAGGCTGCCGGGAGAGCGGGGAAGGCGTTGGGCGGCGGGGGACGGGGCTGCGAGGAGCCAGGCACCCAGTTGGTCGTGGCAGCTGGTGTGACTGGCTTGGGACCAGCAGCACCTGCGCGCGTGCTATTCTTGAGCCGCAGGACACGGCTAGACTGCTTCGAAGAGGGCGCAGCGCCAGGTGTGGCGGGAGAGGCGGTCGCGGCACTGGCCCAGCCGCTGGACGATGTGGTAGCTCCGTGCATACCACCCAGACCGGGAAGAGATGGATAATCCTCGTTGATGGCCCGCCAATCCTGCCATGCCTTTTGCAGGGCCTCAGCCTTCTTCTTGTCTTCGAAGAGATCGGCAACTTCGCGAAGCAACGTTCCTAAAGCGTTTGACGACGTGTCTGCAAAGAGGGAGAAGAAGGCGTCGACAAGCTGAGGCGCCGTGAACTTTCCTCTCCTAAAGGACGAAATGTGCTCGCGGAAGGTGTTCATTTTCGCTTCATCCTTCTTGAGCAGGGTTTCAGCACGTTCAATGACGGACTGATGGCGCAACATCATCGCTCGCTCTTGAGGAGGCAGTGACGAGATATCAGTGACACTTAGTTGCTCCATCGCTGTCGTCGGCAGTGCTGGAGCAGGCGTCTGACGGGAAGCTGCTGAAGGAGCAGGGGCGTTGCCTTGGCGTGATGAGGTAGGCTGTGATGGCGTTGAGGATGAAGAAAGCTGACCGCCAAATGTTCGGTTGGAAACTGATTGTGCTGAGTGAATGGCCATTTGCCTCTGGAAAGCAAGCTCATCACGACGAAGCGGCTGAGCTGAGCTCTGAGGGATGGGGTCCGCATTAGGATCTCGGCCACGGCCACGTCCTTGTCGACCGCTACCTGATCCTCCTCCTCCACCACCACCTCCGCCTCGCCTCTCATTCTCGTAACTGGGTCTGAAGTCGAAGCCGGACATGTTAACGACGCGTGCATCTCTGCGGACGTCCTTGGAAAGAGAGTCGGCATGTTCAGCCAGCTGGTGCGCCTTCAGGTCCATCTCAGACTCGAACACCACGAACTTCTTTTCCAAACACTCCCTGTCGAGACATGGGAAGTGGTCCTTCTCAAAGTGCTTCTCCAACGCAGGGTAGTTCACAAAGTAGTGAGGGTGTCTCGAGTCTCTTCGGTCGCAGAGGAAACATCTCTCATGCTTCTCGCGGCAATGGTCAAAGAGCTTGTCGTCATCGTAGAAGCGCGATCCGCAGAACCCGCAGAGGGGATGACCTTTGAAACCAGTCTGGTCGATTGCGCCAGGCTTGTCGTCACCATGCCTCATGTGCTTCTCAAGCTCCTTATCGGCGAAGAGCTCGTGCTCGTGGGTGAAAAGCTTCTTGTTGCGGGTACACAGATCGCACATCTTCCGTTGGTGAGTCGACCGCACATGTCGGTGCAAGTCTGGCCAGCCCAGGCCGGCGAAGACACAATCGTCGGCTGGGCAGTTATATCGGAGCAGCACTACAGTATCGCCAACGATTTCTTCGTTTGCATATCGGATACCGATGTTACTGTCGAAACTCGTGATGTCGGCGTCGGAATATTCTTCGTATCGCTTGTTTGCGTCTTCGGTGAAGATTACAAAGGGAGAGGGTGTCTTGGCTCAAGTCAGCTTCCGTAGTTCCGCTGGACACAGAGAGAACTTACTCTGCAGTGAGGGCAGTCTTTGGTCTTGTACAACGCTCTCATACGCAGACCGCAGATATGGCACGTCTTGTGATTGCATGGCGCAATGGAGTGGAACTTGATGGGCTCTGCGCAGATGAAGCACACCTCGCCGTCGGTGCTAGCAGCATCGTCGGCATCTGCTGCGGCGCGGGCAACCGGCTTGGACTCAGGCTTCGGGGCAGCTTGCGGCGAGCTTGCATCCTTGGACTGGGCAGCGGCACCAGCATTGTTGCCGCCTCGACCACGACCGCTCCTCTGTCCGCCTCGGCCGCGAGATCCAGCATTACCTCCGCCACCACCTCCGCCTCCGCGGCCTCTGCCACGGTTGCGATTGCCCCGCGAGGGGTTCGAGGATTCAGTAGATACTTGGGCGTCCGCCATGGAGATCGTCGTTGTTTGGTGACTTGTTCTGAGTAGAGGTATGGATGGTATCGAATGCGCCTTGTCGGGTGGGGGCTCGGTCAAGGCTGACGATTGCTCCGTTTGCCGTTGCGCGAAAAGTGTCGCTGGTGGAGCCGAGATGCTTATCGAGGGATATGAAGCTGGCTTCCGGTGCGCGCGGCAGTATTCGGGGAAGTGAACAGCAGTTGATTGAAAATGACGGTAAGGCAGATCAAGGGAAACAAGAGACAGACGGCGCGGACGGTTTTATTCGGGTGCCGCGAGACGAGGGACGTCCAAATTAATGATTATGTGTGGCTCCCAAAGGAACTTGCATTGGTGGATGCCAGCAGAGAGGATGGCGGGGTCCAGCAAAAGGTCCCCTGCCGGGGAGCGAAAAGAGAAAAAAAAGGCCTGCCGGGGATTCTCCGGTTCTCGCTTCTCGGTGTGCGTCATTCACCCCTGCAACGCGCTGCGTCCGGTTGACAGCTGGTGGAAGCTTCGGGTGGGGTGCTATGATTACATAAGACGTTGCTTGGAATCAGTCCTCGTAACGCATCGAGTCACCGGCCAAAGCTGACAGTGTGTGTGGCGTTGATGTTTAAGTGACAGTGCTTATGGTATTGAAGGTATGAATATCTCATTGAGTTTTGAACATCCAGGAACTCTGGCATGTATGCAAGGTGACTCACCTTGGAGCTGCTTAATTGTTCTCGTGTATGGTGGTCTTTGGCATTGGCTAGATTGCATCACTGTCACCGAGCCTCACCAATGCCGATCAAGTTTAGACAGATTGGAGACTAAGACTAGTGTCGGCCTAGTATCTCAAGGCCGAGCAGGTCAGACGCTCCCCTGCGCATAGCTGCGAGTTCAAACGCAGCAGCGTTTCCCGGTGTTGCCCATATGGGGCGAACCATGTCTTATGACGGTGCCATCCACAAACTCTTCTACTGGAACCATCGCGAACCTGTTCAATTGCTGCCGTTTCCCCCATGCCCGACCAAAGAACCCTTAAAATCTGCTGAGCCCAAACCAGAAAGACGCCTGTATTTACATCCACCACCGCCACCCCACTCTGTTGCAGTCTCGGCCTTACTCTGCTTCGACTGGGTAGAGATGGCTGCCGATCATCTTGTTCATCTGGAACATGTCCACCTTGGGCACCTTGAATATGGCTTGCATTTTGTCGTCGCAAAGAATCTGCCGCTTGTTTTCAGGGTCCTGCAGGTCGTTCCCCTTGATGTGCTCCCAAAGCTTCTTGACCACTTGCGGACGGGACAGCTGCGGAACATGTTAGAGCCTATACAAGTGGCCAAGTGCGGTCAGCGGGACATACCTGTTGCTCGCCAACCAGCTCCGCCAGGGGAGAGCTCAAGTTGAACGGCTTTTGGAAACCACCACCGGCCTTGCGCTTAGGCGCCTCGCCTCCCTCGATGTCACTGTCGTCCCCATCGCGAACCTTGGTCGCGCTCTTCTTCTTGGGAGCAGTCCTCTTCTTCTTGGTGTTTGACTTGTTGGTCGCCCCGTTGCCGCCGCGGGTGGTCCGCCCTCTGGCCATGCGGTTCTCCTGCGCCTGCAGCTCGGCGGCAAGCTTGGCATCTGCGTCCTCTGACGAATCCTCGCGCTTTTGCTTCTTGCGGACGGGAGACACGGACACCTGTATTTCGCCATCGCCGTCGACCTCGTCGTCATCGTAACCGTTGGCCTCACGTTTATGGGGAGGGCTTGCGGATTGATCGTTGCCGTCTGGTGAGCCGGAGATGGCGTCGAAGCGCTCCTCGATCAGCGCCTTGATAGCATCCTGGAGAAGGAAAAGTCAGCCTGTGCCCGACGGTGTTGTTCACGCGAATCGCCCAAACGTGGTATGTGTGCCTACCTTCTGAGCACTGAGATCCTTTCCGCCAAGGGCCGTCTCCAGACCTTGGCGAATCTTTTTCCGGGTGACGGTGGTGAGGTCTGCTGTCGCAAGGATGCCGTCGACGATGGAGGTGTAGCGAGACTCCTCCTCTGCGCTGACTGTAGAAAAGGATGTTAGCGAGGGGGACCCGACTGATACCCAAGCGATGTGAAAGTGATGGGTACGCACGTGGGCTAGACATGATGTCGCCGGGCTGACCACAATATTTTTGCACCGATATGTATGTCGTAGATGCGTCGGCAGCGGATCCGGGGCGTTCCTTTTTGTATGATGCACGTCCGGGCGTGATATATCGGTGAGATGTAGATATGCTGGCGGGAGCCGCAGGTAGATGGCAGGCAGGAAGAGGGAAGGCGAGAGTTGGGTAAGCTTGTAACCTCTGGTCAAAGCATCTCTTGTGATGGAAGTAGAAGCTGCGACGGGCTACGGCGAAGGAACGTTGCTGGATGAGGGAGGTGGAGCACAGCGCAATCCACGCCTTTGGTCGTATCGCGGCGTCGGGTCGGGGGCGCATCAACCCGCGAGAAATGGACGGACGGGACGCACAAGGCTGAAAGGGGACCGACGGACGATCGTTGGTGGGGCGTGGATGCCAAGGCGGGAGGTGGAAGGACGCGAAGATGCCGTTGCTCGAGTGCGCGACGAGGATGAGGTAGAGATGCTGAGGGCCGCTCCGATCCGGTACAGGGCAGAGTTGGATGCGACGATGAGGCCGTGACGAGGAGGCGTGCAGCGGTGTCGGTGGCAGCGGCGGTGGTGGTGTTGTGATGCACAATCAGAAGGTGGCGAGTGACCTGGGATGGTGAGGCTCTCCTTCCGTTAGGCTATCCGTAGTAGGTATCGGTACGGCGTAGGTAGGGTGGTAAGGTAAGGTAGGTTGTTTGTTTGGTTTGGCGGTTCTCCTGCAGCGAGCGAGACTCCTCCTAACCGGCCTCCAGCGTGGTCTCTTGTTTCCTTCTGGCCAACGGGATTCAAGCGCAACAATCGTGTGGCTGGAGAGAAAGGAAAGGCCGAACACAACTCGCTGGCTCTCACAAAAAAGTGGTCTTTGGTCTTGCATTAGACGTTGGCTCGAGCTCTGGCAGTCCAGACCACTGCGCCGTGCCAATCATGGCTGCGAATTGACTCCCGCCCCATGTCCCACGGCACCCGTCGGCAGCCCCCCACACAAGCAACACTCAATGGTTCGGCCCTCCTTACGACTGCTCTCTGTGCCTTAGGTAAGCGCCATGTCGACTGAGAAGCATCACGTGGTTCGGCTTGCATGGCCGGGGAATTCAAAGGTTGACTTGCCGATGACTTACATAAGCACATGATCCCGTACATCCGTGGATCTCGGTGTCAGCACCTTGATCATGTCCTCCAACCACACCTCGGTGACCCTCGCCAATCACGTCCTATCTCTTCGGTGAACGGGCTACTCTCTTTCCTGAATTGGCAGCACCCTCGTCGCCTGCCAAACAGGTGCTCCGCTCTTGGCTTAGCTTCGGCCCAATGGCCTTCCCAGCCGGTGCAGCGAGGAGGTCATGTCCCGGCAGTCGGTGTGATCTTGGACCCTTCCTCTGATGTTCTTGGATTGAACATTGATGACGTCGCTGATGTATCTATCTCTCTGAACCACTGTGTCGTCGAACAAACTCCAGCATTAATCGTCCTTCATTTTCCTTAGATCTTAGCGCAGCGCCGTCGCGAGGGACACTTCATCATGTCGCTCCTATGGGTTCCCACGATGCTGAACCCCTTTAGCATGCTCACTCAGGCCTTCCCCCCGCATCCGCAGTTCACAGAGAAAGACATTGCCGATCTCACCGGAAGGGTCAGTCGCTCTCAACCCCACACGCACGGCATCGTCTCACGTCGTACAGGTATGCATCGTAACGGGTGCCAACACGGGCGTTGGCAAGGAGGTCGCGCAGATCCTCTACTCCAAAAACGCTACCGTCTACGCCACAGCGCGCTCCGAGGAGAAAGGACGCGCAGCCATCGCCTCCATCAAGGAAGCAATTCCCGACTCCAAGGGCAAGCTTGAACTTTTAACCCTTGATCTGGCCGACCTGACCACCGTCAAGCCGGCAGCCAAGGCGTTCTTTGCCAAAGAAACGCAACTTCATATCCTCATCAACAATGCCGGCGTCATGATGCCACCCCAGGGCAGCCAGACTGCCCAAGGCTACGAACTCCAGCTGGGCACAAACTGCGTCGGGCCCTTCCTCTTCACCAAGTTGCTCACGCCCACTCTGGTGGGGACGGCCAAGACGGCGCCCAAGGACAGTGTGCGTGTCGTCTGGGTGGCAAGCTCTGCTACTGAAGTCCTCTCACCAACTCCCGCCATTGAGATTGACAATCTCGACTACAAGCGGGATAGACTCAAAGAGGTCAAGTATGGAATCAGCAAAGCGGGGAATTACTTCCACTCGACAGAGTTCGCAAAGCGACACAAGGCCGACGGCGTGATCAGCGTGGTAAGAGCCGATGTGCGAGTACGATCAAGCAGAGGACAGAATTTGACATCCGATTAGGCGTTGAATCCCGGAAACCTGAAATCAGACCTAGACCGTCACATCACTGCTTTCATCCCGCGGTTCTTCAGGAAGACCACAACGTATCCTCCTATCTACGGGGCTTACACGGAGCTCTTCGCCGCCGTTTCACCAGACGTCACCATCGAAAAGACTGGAGACTGGAGTAAGTATCTGTCAAAATCAAAGACGACTCGTGCTGATTCAACAATGCAGTTGCTCCGTGGGGCCGCTTCTACTCGATCAGAAGCGACTTGGTGGAAAGCTCCAAGTCTCGCGAAGAAGGCGGCACAGGCCTTGCAGAAGACTTTTGGAAATGGACTGAACAGCAGGTCGAAAACTATATTTAACACCAGAACGAGCTTTCGAAAGCTTCGTTAGGCATGGCTCATGTACCCAAATCCTAATTAGTAGCAGATCACAGCTTTTAGCAACCCGCAGTCACATAACGACTCAAGACAGATTCGTCACTGAAGAATATATTCAAAACTAAGTCCACTAGGCACAGTGCCAAAGTCTCTATGTGCAAAAAAGATATGTACATCAGAATGGGGGCGCGCTCC